AATAGAAAGGAACACCCGAGTTAGATTTAGAACTCCCCAAACAGATACTTCTCCTCAAAGGAGAAACCATAGTGAGTGTTTATCAGCAGAAGCATGGGATGAACATCTGGTATGGTGCAACTGTATGTAACCTAGTACATTACATTTGCTCACTCGGCTAGGGGGATGACTGGCTTGGAACAAGCTGTATCTGTGAAAGATACAACTGGTTTTAGCCTCCAAAACAAGACAGCTGCATGAAAACCACCTGTGGGTAATGGTTTCTGGAGTGCTCTACCATCAAACTGCAGCCAAGAACGGTTTAGCAAGAGCACTCGCTCATAGTAACACACAAAATCCATGCCACAGGATGTTCTACAGCTTCCTCACATATATTTCTTCCTAGTAGCTGGAAGAGTTACTCGGATTTGAATTTGCTGGTAGAGCTGAAGCTGTAGATTATACATCACGTCGACTGGCCAGAAATGCATGGCCACTGGCCTTCCCAGTTGCAGCCCCACAGTTAAAAGCCACTGCCCTGTGGGTAGCTGGGATGATGCTTCAACATACTATCAAAATGTGAGCTGACGCTCCGCCACATGGCCCCCATCTCTGCAGTTTCCCAATACATTAATGTAACAGATGTGAATACCACTGACCATCTATGACGGGGAGGTAGAAAGCAGACAACTCTATACAAAAAACTGGGAAGGACTTGCTTACATTATTAAATGTGTTTGAATAATAACCTTTATTCTTCTTGGAGTAAAAGGCATTTAGTTATGGCTGACAGAGTTAATGATCATCAGAATATAAAACCACATCCAAATCAAACCCTTAAATCTGAACTCTGTTGTTTCAAACTCGATTTCTTCTGGTTGGATCTCTGTGTCATTTCAGTTAGTTGAGTGGCAGCCAGTAACCCACACTTTGACATATATTGTTACTAATGTCTCAGTTTTCTATTTTTTTCAGCAGGCAATCTCTGTCTGATAATCACAATAATGAATATTGTCTGTATCTCAATGTCATGGAATTTTTTTTTGGTGGAAAAAATGTCCCTTTCAGTCTTCTGGGTATTTCCATGGATTTTGACTTGTTCTGCAGAACTGTATTTCTAGGCTGTTTTAATAGGTGACAGTATAATCCCTCTATATGTAGATGAAGGTATTAGTTATCTGAACAGCAACAATTTGTCCAGCATTTTCATCTGTCGTATGAAGAGTGATTAGCGAAGTTGATAATGGTGTAACAACAGATGCTGGTTCAAGAATAGCAGTAGACATTTTTTCAACAAAAGCCAGAAAGATCTCAGAAGATTGACTTTCTTGAAATCCATGGTTAAATTAAAGGGAATTATAACACACCCAATGATTACATGCTTTTTTCTGGTGAATGACAAGGCCATGTATTTACACAGCTTTCAGTCAAAGTGATCCCGAAGGAACAAAACTATTTGCTGCTCTTACAAATGAGCATCACCGCCACAGAGTACACCTTAGTCTTCTTGGGCATGAGTTGTACGCTCTTTTCAGGAATTTAAGTGCTCTGAGTTAATCCCTGGAAGAGCTGCTTTCTCAGTGTAAGACTGTAGGGAGATTTGCCTTGCCTCACGGTAGTTCTTGCAAACAACTCCTCTCTCCTTGTCACTAGATATTGTCAATAGCACATTTGAAAGCCAGATTGCCATGCATTAACAGCATGACAAATTGCAACCTGGACAGGGTTTGGGAAGAATCTTCATACCAAGCAGGTAAGTAAATGCCTCTTAAATAATGAAGGAATATTTAAAGAACTTATTGTTCTTGGGTTATCGCCACAAAAATCTGCCCAGGTTTCTACCTGAGGTAGACTTTCCTATCCAAACCTTGGTTCGTTTATGAGCCCTGAAACGGGAAACTTTTGTTTCCTTTTTGCCACTGGGGAATCAGAATTTTTCAGACAACCACTGCCAATTAATATCAGTTTTACAATAAATCTAGAATATACATTGCTAATGATCTCTCTTATAATTTACATATTAATTCTTTACATGGGTAAAAGGTCAAGGAATCTCAGAAATATTGACAGGATGTTTGTTGATGCGAATGACAGTACCAGCTTTGGGAATGTATCTTGACTGCAAAATCAATCACCTAGCTTAATTGATTTAGCAACAGAGTATTAGACATGAAAGAAATCCAAGATAAAAAACCTTGTACAAGAGAAGTATAATGTGATTTTTTGAAATCTTAATAGTTTAGATGAAGATACATGTCTTGCAATGAGGTAATTTAACTTTTTATGATGTAACTACTTGGACAGATTTCTTACTTGCTTTACAGTGAGCTCAGAATTGAATTATTAAACTTTATCAATTTGTATCAAAGGAACTTTGTGAATTGAGCTAAAGGGATATCATATAAAAGAATTATATTAAGTCCACCACTGGAAGTCCCATACTTCTTCCTGATTGCACAGGCCTCCTCTGCTGCCTCTCATGGCAGACCCTCTGAACACCTATATATTGTGTATGATTTATTATCACATCTTAAACCAGATTATCTGGAAGGGACTGAACTTCGTTCTCCCCAAAAGAGTAACTGTTCATATAAAGCTTGTCTTATCTTAAATCACTTTAGCTGCCTTTTCGGGTTCTAGTCTCCCCACAGTGAATCTGAATCACCCGTGTGAGAGCTCTACTTTATTCTGAAGTTGATATAAATACACTTTGCTGATTATCAGGACCATTAGCTAACTGTTACATACCTGAATATTTTTAAAAGGATACTAGGGACCCAGCAAACAACTACGATGAATCACTCCATAATGTACTACTGTATGTTTTCTTCATTCATTAGGTAACAAGAAATTATATTTTCCAGACAGCACATGTTAAGCGTGCATTTTGCTGGATGAAAATTTGTGGTGTTATTCACTTCATTTCATCCTTAACAAACGTCACCTCTGACATTTAATGGAAACAGAAACACTTAGACTCACAAGTTCACTACGTGACTGGTCCATAATGGAGTGTGCCTGAGAATGTTAGGCCACATGAGGATGTTTTCACATGAGCTCCTCCATATGACTGGACATCAGTGGCACACAGAAGTGGTCTGCCTGTACCCTCACTTACAGCAGTCATGGGGAGGAAGGTACAGCTTCCTGTCTTTCCACTCTCCAATAACTTTTGCTTCACTTCTCAGGTGGCAGACTCATGTAAAAAGCATGCAAGTACAAGGAACAGGGTCGGGAACCACAAGGTACTGCACTCACAATTTAGCCCAGGTACAATCTTTAAGCTGGCATAACTCTTGAGTTACAGCTAGACATAATCTTGCCTGCTGTCCTGGTCGTGAGACTCTTGAACTCCTGGCTATGTGGTTTAAAGGCTGGCAATGTCTATCCTTTGCCATCACGATTACGCAATGAAATCAGTCCCTTGTCTTGACTGAGTGCTCTAATGATATGACAATTGAAACAAAAGGTGGTCAGTACGACTGTTGCTGGCATTCAGCTCCACTAGATGGCTGTCCCCAGAATCAGGGCTAGATGGAACAGATTCCAAAGGAATGCAGAATATCCAACATTTCCATGTTCCCAGTGGAAGAGGTAGACACATAATTTAACTAGATTAAGTTAGTGGGACTGCCTACGTTACCTATGTAATTGAGAGAGAGGGTGGCCAAAGTTAATGAAATTGAATATCCATATTCAGGTCTTTGGAGACACTTTCCGTTGAGTATATAAGGGACATAATGAACTTAAGTAGTTATCTGAGCTGGACTATATTGGTTCCTGACACTTCAAATTACAGACAAGTATCTAAATGGAGCACTTAATTAAGGTAGACTGGATTCAGTGCTTATTCACTCTGATTTGAATGAGTGAATTTATCTTTTGTGTGCAAATGGAACTGGATTCTTGACCGTTTGTTTGAGTTTTTAACCTTCTAACTGAGTAACAGTTGGCTTCCAAATGCATCAATAACATGAGATTTAAGAACCATGCTGTGCTTTATTACACAAAAGAAAATACAAGTTTGGCACGAGTTTCTCCTTGGGCAAGCACTTGTTCTAAATGGCTTTTACATATTAAAAAAAATAGCTTCTATTTAAGTGACAAAGAGATAATGCAGATCATGTTTATATGTTAGAACATGAGCTGATCGGTCATTTGCAGATGAACATGCATAGCTCTTACTAATTGGTTTTGATCACACAGAACTTCTGATGACATTAATTGGACAAACATGCACCTATAATTTTCAGTATGAGCACAAAAATTGAAATATCTATTTACTTCTTAAAATTTTTGATTGGTGAAGTATAGATCTTACTATATAATCCCCCCGTGAGATATTATTGAAATCTCAAGATTTTTTTTTTCCATATGGCTACCTGTCAGTTCTGTAACTACAAACATTAAGACTAGGATACTGACCTGCTGTTCCCAGTCTGACCTGAAACCAGGCAAAACTCTTCAAATATATGATAATGATTAGAAAGAGGTCCAGATATTGTATTTTAAACAGGATTAAATGTACATCCAGTTTAAGTCTGGAAGTTCTAGCCTTGAATTTAAGTACCGTGTTTCACAACATTTCTTCATAATTGATAAATGCATAGGTAAAGAAAGATCTAGAAGATGTATTTATTCACAAATTTATTTTCAGTTATTCTTTCCACTTTTGTCTAGCATTAATCAAAACAAATCCACAAACAATTCCAAGATAAGAAGAGATCCCTACTATTTCAAATAAGCTTTTCCATGAAATCCATGCTAAATGTGGTTACCTTTCCTTACCATGCTCTACAATATGCATAGCAAATTATGCACTGTTGTGTCCAGTAAGTTGGAAGTAAGGTCATTTTCTGAAGGTAGTAGCAGTAGTATTCAGTAGTATTAGCTTGCTCATAATATAAAGGCCAAAACCTGATACACTTCAGAAAACCAGATATGATATTAATCCTCAACATTGCAAGCAATAAAAAGGCTCCTATCTATAAATACAATAAAAGTTACCATGTGGAACTTACTGTGCTGGCAGTGAATCCCATTAAATCCCTCTGGACATTTACAAACATATCCTATGAATGTGTCGCCTCGGTACGCTTCACTAATTTCACATATCCCACCATTATGACATGGATTAGGAAGGCAGGGTCCTGAGAGAGGGGGGAAAAAAAAGAAGTATATATACATACATTGTAACAAACATAATAATTTCAGTCATATATGCGTTCATTAAAGAAATAAAATCCCTTATGTAGACCTTCATATTCCACTAACCCACTAAAATATATCCTTCACATAGTTCAGATAACTTGCCAGCACAGATTTTTATGAACAAGAAAAAATATGAAGCATGTCACTACTCATTAATCACAACATTATTTTTTAATGTAAGAGAAGACAGGAGACAGAGAAGCTAAATCTTGCTCTCCTATTAAAGATAACAGGCATTCTAACTTTTATACCACTGAGGAAATATGTATTAATCAAACGTGCCTATCATGTATGGAGTGACATGTACAATATCCCTAAATAATCACTACATGTCAAGTTAGTAGTTTGAGATCTTTGCTAAGGCTTTGGGTGACTTTCTGCATATGTGACTATATGGGCCAGCAGTTAGCAGCTACTAAACCAACTATTCTTCTTCCATTGAGTACCTTTTTAGCATATCCACTTCAAGCTGATTTCAAAAAGGTCTTCTGACTAAATTATTTTTTCCCACTAACCACATGCTAGGATACCTAAAATTTCAGCAGTGAGATCAAATTTGTTAGGATTGCAATGAATGACTACACATACCTTTAAATAATAGCAGTTTTTGAACTGAGATCTGAAGTTTATTCATTTAATGGCACATGTTAAAAGATTTTTACATCTTATTGTCTTGCTAATACTATCTGTAATATACCTCCTACTAGAAGAAAACACTTTAGCATTTTGATGATTTTTTTTTTTCCAGTCTCACTTTAAAGAACTAGTGGTAATCACTGATTAGAAAGCCTCATGTGCAAATTTTTGTGTGACAAGATATATGAATTCAATATATAGTATGTTATTTGCAACCTTTGCCATGTACACAGAAAAGTGTCAGTCTTCACTTACTGAGATGCAATGTCATAATTATTCACCTACTTAAAATTGCATTTAGAAAAAAAAAAACCAAAACAGAAAAGAACTTCTTTCTGCAGCGTTATTTACTGACAATCAGCACTCGGAATTGAGTGATTTAAACTTAAAAGAGCTATAAGTTTAATGCTTCTGAGGGTCTACCTATTTGTTTATGTTTTCAATTACAAACCCAAGGTTTGACAGATGTTCACAGCAACACCATTCATTCAGAACGTCACATTAGTGAAAACTGCACTGTCTAAGAAAATATTAATTTGCAAAAATGAAAATTAACAGGCTGACAAGGATTTCAGAACACATTCCCCAGTTATAATTGCCCGGGTGGTTATAGCAATTTGAGAAACTATCCATGGACACATTTCTATTACAACTTACGTCATCAGCCTATTCCAGGACACAATCCTGCAGAACGTATGCTTGTGTGTATCATTAAACAGGGGATACGTCTCACTGAACCCAATAAATAAAAGACATGAATATACAGCAGCTTATTCTAAATGCAATTAGTAGTAAAAAAAGGGCAAAAATCATGAAGATGGAGAGGAGGAGATAGCTGTTGCCTTTTTTGCCTTTCCCTATCCACTTTCTGCATTACACTTTAAACGTAATGGTACACTACATTCTTAATTCCAGACAACATATATCACTCCTTTAACAGGTCTAGGAAGACTCATGGCTTTCAAGTATTACAGCTTCTGTTCCTGTTATTTCTCCTCTGTAATATTTTGGGAAGAAACATGTTTAATAATTTGCACTTTTAGTCTCCCAATGAATACGTGTGTGTATTTTTCTTCCAAGTCTCTATCAGAGTGCTTCAGTTTGGGGAGTATCTGCAGGTAGCCTCATATGTTAATTACTTCTATGCATGCGGATCTCTAATCTTCGAAGAACAATAAATCTTTTAATAATTACTTTCTCATTTTGCTTGCTGCTTTCTCCATATGGCTTGTTAAGCACATGTTCAGCATACTTTCATTAATTTTCTTTAGATTTTGCACTTTCTCAGATCAGTCTGAAGTACAAAGACTTAAAAGGTCATTTGAGGTGCACAGTAATAAATAATATACTGGTGCACACCAGTCTATCTAATGAATCTTAGTCTTCTATGATGCCTTCATACTGAAAAAAACCCCACACCAACAATATGAACACTTTTTTTTGCCTGATTATAGTTGTTATTTGGTCATAGACATATAATAGCAGTATTTTCAGTCTAACTGTTGAGTAATTTTGCTTTGGGGTTTTTTTGTTAATAGAAACTGGTAGTTCAAAAATTATTTTGAGAGCAATGAAACATCCTAATTAAATGCACTGAAAGTAGTAGACAACAATCATCTAATTTTCACTAGTTAACATTCATTGCCTCAAAAGGACATGGGTTAGACTCATCTGTGTTCTAAAACAATGAACGACTGAAACTTTAAAAAGCCTTATTTCTCCTAATTCTCCAGAGGACCATACTCTGAGTTCACACATCTTCAGGATATTTAAATTGCATGAATCTTCAAGCATATGTTTCTTTTTTTTCATTGGGTGTATAGGATGCCTGACGCAAGTTTTGCAGGTTTGAGTGTCTTGAAGGATCTGAGTCCTAATCCTGCCATCATTCCATCTAAGCATCAAAAATGGTATGTAAAAATCTAGGCACTGCTGCTAGATTGTGAGAGGTCCCAACTAACTTCCATAGGGATGTATAGGCTTTTAAATAACATTGTATTGAATGCTGGATAATTAATTCCCCAACAATCTGATTAATATTCTCAGTGACTCAGATCTATAGCAGCAAGTTCAAAAACATCCTTCTTTACCAAAAAAAATAAAAAACCAAACTTGTCAACTAATTTTCAAAATACAGTGGACATCAGGGATTTGGTTTTTTAAATCAATAGCACTGTAATACTTTTGCAGGTAATCTTTAAGTGGCTTCCAACACAAAGAGAACAACAACATTTGATCAATATTAATGAGCAGTGGAATTCAATGGTATGCTTTCCAGGCATTTTTATCCATGTTCATATAAAATAATGTCAACAAGATTAATTGTGCACTCAGAATAATAGATCTATTCACTTTGCTGCTCTTTTGAGTCCTTCATTGTGCAGCTCCAGTGGTATTAGCCAACATAATAAGTATAGTCCGAAATATATCATCCTGTTATTCAACTGAAATCCCATACTGTTTTTGAAAAAATATTAAAAGTAACTTAAAGCATAGCAGGTTTTAAATTTTTTAGATGCTCTTACTAAAATCTCTGAGATTTTATAGATGGACAAATCAAACAAATGCATCCTCAGTAGAGTTGCAAAGGGGCTCAAGGCAGAACCATGTTATCTATCTGTTTTCTTTGACAAGCACAGTCAACAATAAAATCTTGTATAATGCAAAAGTGGTAATTACATATTTGAGAGAAAACATTAGTTTGTCTATAGCAAGAAAGGCCAGGAAAGCAAGGAAAGCATCGTTTCACCAATAAGAATGTAATTTTTGACGATAACATATACAAAGAGTGAATTAGCTCATTTAGGAAAACTGTTCCTTCATTTGTCTTGTAGGATATTCAAATTCTTTTGAAGTAATAAAAAGAAGTGTCCAAATACCTTTCTATATTTTCCCCCTGGTAGTCTGGAGGAAATGTATTTTTTAAAATACCTAGTCTTATTTTGAGCTTCTTTTTTTTGCATGGTCTTCCATTTTTAAGAAAAAAACCAAACAGATAAACAAACAAGAAAGCCTAGAAATGTTGACAACTGTGAAGCATATCTAAATATGTGTATGTGAATATCATTACCTAAAATTCTGATTGTTCTCATTTCAATTATTTAGTTTTACTGCAGACTGGCTGCATCTACAGGAGCAAGCTACACAGTGCAATGGGAAGTGATCTGAAGAGGAAGAGGGCTGATGCTGTCAACCTGATGCCCACACATTGTCCTTCCTGAGAAGAGGGTGGTAGAATTACTCTGGTGATAGACTAACTCTAGTCTCTATCAAGGCTTTTCATCAGCTTAGGTTTGTATCTGTATGTGTGAGGTATGACACTAATTACTGTCCCCTCTAAGTGTCCAGGATGCATTAGAATTTCAGAGCTGTACACAAGCCAGTGCAAACTTCATCAGGGGCAGACACAGAGCCTGTCTGAAAGGGCAGCTGTGCAGATGCTCAGCGGAACACCTTTTGTACAATGCACTGAAGTGCATTATCAAGAAGTCTACAGACACTTTGCCAGATATTTTTTTGATAAATCTTTACCTAGGACTTAAAAATATGACAAAGGCCAACTCTGAAGTACAGTGGCTAACAGTGGAGTTGTGTAGCATTAGCTTAGCAAAATGTAAGAAATCAGAAAACAGTTGAAATAGCAGCCGTAACAGGAAGAAAAAACAAACAATGTCCCCTCAATGACTCTTTCCCTTAACACTCCCCAATTCAGTGATAGTCATCTGTAAAACAAGCCATTTCACATGCTTCCACCAAATACCGTAAGCATTTTTTGCCAAATATAAAATCTGCTGCTGCTTTGGTGGGAAAGACAATACAAAATACCAGGCAGTTACAGGTGATGTAGTTAAACGAGAACTCTACATCAGTTGCATCTTCCTCAAAGTCTGATTCTCCATACTCAAAATTGTGCTTGCTGCTGTGCTAAAACAAGAAGACGATCAAAAATCAAACCCCATGATTTCTTGCTAAGACAAGATCAAATGAGGAATACGAAAAACGAAAAGAGAAAAAAAAAAAAAGACAAATATACTCCAATGGAGTGACATACGCTAAATAATCACATTTTAAGAAAGTAAAATTAAAGGCAGTGCAATACAAATGTTAATGCTTTTGATGCTATCTTTCTATCCATCTTCTCTTCATGTAGAAATATTGCAACTTCAAGGAAAAATGCCAAATTAGATATTGACCTTGATATACATCAAGATGAAGATACTGTTAGCTACAAAGCTAATTGCTTTATGTATTCTGTGGAGTATTAGTGAAGTAGGACTAATAGATAATGTTACTCTGATGATAC